GTTCTTATTCAGAGCGAAAGAGAATGCTACGTGTAACGCTTGTGGTTCTGGCTTAACATCTACAAATATCCATGCCCGAACCCGAATTGGAACCAGACCAGGGACCCCTAGTGCCGCAGTTGGCCTTCCACGCCACTATGCCCTACACGTGTTGCTAATACGGAACACTGAACAATGGAATTCTCAGTTATGCGTAGAAGGCGTGTTAAGGCTTATGATTGGTCGACGTTTTTCTGGGTAATAGCAGCTGATCTCTACCTCAACCGGGAATGATTTCTACAGGTGGTCGTATGCTGAAGATGTCAAATCATCTCTTCGGAAAGTAATGGAAGGTCTCCTTACCTCTTTTTTAGACAAAACGCCAATCTTGCTGCTTTATTATTAATCCTACGGAACTATTTTATAAATACCTACAAATTGTAGCATCTGTTAGTCTATACTAAATGCACAATGTCATAGAAATTGGGTAAAATTCACTTCTGGGGCATCCAGACAAAGCCATTTAAATCGATCTATAAATCACGATTTTGGCGGTTTTTTATCTAGATAGCAGGGTTGTTAGGATTAAGTCATAGAGAAGGTAGAATACATCAATAGACCCGCATATATGTGATTTGTGGTAGTCCTACTAGTCCTATGTAAGATGTAATTCACGTATAGTACCTATACAATAAATAAAACCACTCGATATGGATATAATACAACAAGTTAAAAAGTCCTTATGCAAACATAAATGACGAGAGCGTATTTTCCTCCTAATAGTTAATGCTGTCCCATTCTCTTCATGAAACGCTTTCGTAAATAGCATTGCACATTGTCTACATTAGAAATATTATTGAATACCTTCATAAATAAAACATACCAGCACGCGTTAACAGTAATTTTGAAACCGGTATTAGTTTTAGTTTCATTCAAGGTGCCTACATATGATATTCCGTTTTCCTGCTTTCATAAATAAGAAAGTTGCAATTGCGCATGCGCAAAACCAAATTTTAAAACTGGTGTTAGATGTGGTTGTATTCCAAGTGCCTATGTATTAAATTTCATTTAAATGCTTCAGTAAATAAAGAAGTTGCCATTGCGCATGCGCAAAACTAAATTTTGCAACTGGTGTTAGATTTGTCTTCCAAATGCCTATATGTATACAATTTCATTTAAATCGCTCCATAAATAAGAAAGGTGGCATTGCGCATGCGCAAAACAACATTTTGAAGACGTCGTTAATTTTACTTACCTATATTCGTAGTGTTTACATATAAAGTTTTATTTAAATATCTTCATAAAGAAAAAAGTTAGCATTACACATGCGTTAAACCAAATTTTTGACACTGCGCATGCGTAAAACCAAAAAGATGGGTATGCACGGAATCCTTGGACCAATTGCAAATGAGCCGTATATCGCCAAAATCGGTTCAGTGGTTTAGAAGGAGTAGGTACGTGTAACGAACGGACGGACAGCCAATAGCGATTTGTCACTTTGAAGAAAATACGCTAAAAATTGAACTATTTACAAAAGGAAAATCACAGAAATAGAAGTAAATGGAAAAAGTACAAAATAACAGTCATTCTACAAAGGGACTCAACAAACCTGTTATTATTTTCATTACAGCCAAATAATACAAGTGCAATCTGAAAATAGCGGTCCCCATCTGAAATGATGATTAGGTACTTATGGAGCGGTCGGCAATTTACAATCGCAATTCACAAATAACAGCCAATCAAGCTTTTATTTAAAAGTAGGTATTTAAAAATCTTTAAGTATCTTTAGGAGTCTTTAAGAGTTTAGACGCATTTAAAAGAGCTCACAAGTTGTCGAAGTGTCTCACAAAACATTCCTTGTGCAAAAGACTTCATGACAAAAACTCTTAAGGTTAGTTTGAAGACAGTTGAAGGTTTTGAAGAACGAAGAAGAACCGTCAAGGGGTATTTATGGAAGCTCTTGAGAGAGGTTAGACTTTATAGAGCCTGAAGCTTCGAAGCACAAAAAACCTCTACAGCTATATATCTCAATAGCCTCTGATGTTTCAATAGGGTTAGAAACAGCTTAGTTGGGATGTCAGATAAATTCACGTTGTAGCATTGAATTTATAACTAAATTCAATGGTTATAGAATAATCTTACTAAATTAATTATTAAATTATTGTCTGTTGACAATGGATTGTTTTTTATGACGATCACATTCCCTCACAAATTTGCACGCGTGGGAATCCGGACTTTCATCCATGATAGCAATTAAAAATATATTTAGGTACAGATTATCAGCTTCGTTTTAAGTACCTATTTTTAAATGATAATATGCGAACATGAGCACGTCATAAACACTTCATGAATAAGTCATACGTATACCTATAAGCACATAGCGATTCCTTCACTCAACGATATAGGTAAATAAGGGACTTACGACTATAGATAACACAAATTAAGCGAACTGTTGGAGAACTAATCTCAAGCATATCCTTCTGTTATAAACCAAGGGCGTAGTGGTATGGTTGGAGTGCATGTACTCTTATCTTACTTAGCTAATGGTAATACGAACTTTTGGGGGTTGATTTTTACCGCCATTTCGCTTCTAGTCTTTTAATGGTTTTTAACTTTAGCACCTTATTGATGGTACCTACGTATCAAGTGTTGTACTTTACCCAAGTAAAATAATTTATCATCTTGAACAACGCTGTAAGTATATAGTGGTTAATATTGCGCATAGAACACACGTTTTTTATGCATATGTTTTTTTCTTTCTTTAGAAATATTTTGGTACTCTTGACGGGTGTGGGGAAAATACAACAAATCCGAATATGTCAAAAATGGACGTATCAGAGGGCGTTCTCAAAAGTAAAATGGAATGTTTACGCACACAAGAGTGTAACATCTTCAATGTTATTAAGATATATAATAAAACAAACGTTTGAAACTAATCCCACATGACTACCGAGGTTGCCCAGTCTACCTTTCCGGGGCGAACAAACACCACAGAGACCCCGACCAGTTGTCCAACGAAACATCTGCCGTCGCAGGAGTGCCACAAGGAGGATGCGTATCATCAGAACTATTTAACATGTACGTGAACGACATCCCACAAGCCCCCAACGTCAGTATTGATTCGTATTATATCCCCTATTATCGCATCATCAGCGCTGGCGCCAAATGTATTCAAGAGCTACGTTCGCCCATTGCTGATCTACGCCTCCGCTGGTTGGAAAGCTATATGTCTCAAATATCAACACCGCCGCATTAGAAGCAGTGCAAACCATCGCGCTTCGGACAGTAACAGTAACTCCTACCTAGAGCACATACGAAACATCGCATCTGTAACAGGAGCGAAAGACGAAACGGCCCACCTCTTTGGTTTCATCAACCGCGTTAGCATGGCTGCCATTGTCTGATGGATTCCGTGCCTACAATTCCAACTGGAATCGCAAAGCGCACGGTTCCAACACAACCTCCCCAACCCCTACAAGAGAAACAAGACATAAAATCAACAGTAGAAAGTAGAAACTCTATCGATAGGGCTGCTTAAATCACGCCAACCTATTTTCCTCCTCCGTAAGCACTCAACTTCAGAGGAATGTTTGTAGAAAACACAACTGCGCCTGTCGATAATAACTTCAGTTATCAGCTAAATGCTAATTGTTCAGTTTGTAAGCACTGACTTATTGGAACTTGGAGTAGGTACCAAGAAGTCATGGACAGGGCTAGTATACCCCTATTCTTCTTAGATTCTGGATTTTGAGAAGGTGAACTTGCGTCCACGTGCACATATAAGCTTCTGATAGGCCCTTTGCGCTGCCTCAATGATTAGATTCGAGTCGTTCGCCTCCAGCGTCACTCAAGCCACTCCACATTTGAGGACAGCTGCAAGGGTAACGGCTCTCATCTTAGCCGTGATTTCAGGCGATGCCCATGTGCTTGTTCAATTTTCAGAGTGTCCCGAAAGTATGTGTACAGGCAAAGCGTTCTTTGAGAACCCTATACAAAATCGCGCTAAATGGCGGATGGTCCTGTGGTCTCTGTCGCTTGGTGGCAATCTGACATATCAAGCCATACCCGCGACCCTCTGTGCCTTCCAATGATTTGCATTCACTTGTGAAGATGGATATCTGGTTAGGATGCAACTTTAGCATAAACAAGAATGCAGTAGTTCTTCTATAACAAATTGAGGAACGAGAGGTTTCGCTCTGCCTTTGACTATGAGCACCCAGCTGACTGCTCCATCTGAAATTCGTCAGGGGCTTACCTCACCTCCTTTTTTGTTCGCAGATGTAAGGATGCCCTCAGGACAAGAGCTAGCATTGCGATCAAGTGGGGGAAGACCCAAAAGAACTTCCTTAACAGCTGTGTGGGTGGTGCGCATGGCGCCCGTGCATGCCAGTCTTTGCAAATGGTGCAAACTGCTCTCTGGTAGTTGCAAGACCACCAAATTGCCCTATAATAAAGCATAGACCTAATCACGGCAACATACAGTCACAGAACAAAAATAGCTCAAATTTAACAGTCCATACACCAATTAGGCTAATGACAACAGGTTTAATTGAAAGTAAGGAAAATGCTCTCAGAATGGAGGCTGTAATTCATAAATGTAACCAGTGGTGTAGTGACAAATTTAGCAGTGCCGGGACCCTTAAAATGCAGGCAACCCAGGGTATTGAATACCCCCCCCTCAAAGCAAGGAAAATTTAAAAAAATTTGCAGTAAAATAAATGGGTTTTGAAACAATTTCAGTTCGTAGATTTTTGTATAAATTATTGCTCTAGGCTTATCTAAGTCGCAAATATCATTAGTTATCATCATTTATCTCATCTTCTGTGCCGGAGCGCCGCTCCCCTCTCACAAGCAGTGCCGGCTCCACTACACCACTGAATGTAACATAGAAAACACAACAAAAGGTAACACATGAAATAAAACTTTGAGGATTACTGCCTTGTAATGCAAATTGTAGAAGTGTTTGGAAATTGATATTCTTTTTTAGAGTGTAAGACTAGCTAATCTAATAAAAACCCCTGTTATTAAAAATAGTTTATTAATTGTAAGTCAAACATTATTCTAAAGTAAGCACTTGATCTCTATAGTTAAAATTACTACAAATATCAATTTTAGGACTAGAACCAGCCATACACATTGCTCTGTAAGGGTTCTCTTGGTGTGCAGCAGTAAATACAGTAAGCGATGAGGTCGGTATTTGTGAAACAACATCGCCATTGAACGCCATATTATAAAAATGGTTCGCCCGACCACCAGCTAAAAGCTTATCGCCTACAATTTCTGCATAATGAATACCTTGGTCGTTAATTGGGAAAATTGTTGCAGGAGACATGCAACGAAAATGCCATAGAGATAACTTCGGACCACCTCCACACAACTGCAAAGCAAATGCTAATCATAAAACAAATGCAATATTAATTTACCAGCCAATCATCGCTAATCGACACTGCCCCAATCCATTTACCCAAATTATTTCGGGCTATTCCGTCATTCTTATATGGTTCTATTTTGAAAGTGACTTCTTTGTCACGTATATCCCAAATGTTAACCACTCCATCCTCGCCGCCTGAAGCCAGTTCGTCTCCACTAAATATTACAATTTAGTACACAACTGCGAAGATGAAGATACTTACGCATTAAAAATACTATGAATGTAATCGCTATGTTCTACTAGAGTTCGTATAATATGGCCCCCTTCCAAGTTGATAACGTAAATTTTATTGTCGCCACAACCAGCGTATAACAATCCATCTTTAGCCACCATACAGTTAACGTCAGGTTTGCTCAACACCTCGCTGTATGGCAATTCGATCTTCCACGCCACCTTTCCGTCTTTGCTGTTCTTCACAACCTTCCAAGTGTATCCAAATATTTCACCAACTACTCCGACGATTAAAAATGATTCCGTCGCCAGAATACTGTTAATTTGCACATCTTCCTGCACCGTGAATGAATTGTGGGGCTTTGTATCGAGATTTGGTCCATTAAGGTCGGGATTCATAAGTCGATACAAACTAAAACAATATTTGTAAAAATGTTAATTTTATAGGGGTTATTGGCTACTTAAATACGGTTATTTGTCCATAAATGTCTCCAGATACCAAATAGTTGCCGCATGGTGTGAAAGTTAAGTTTAGAATAGAATTGTAGAACGATTTAATCAACATTTTGAATTGTAAACAAGACGCCGAAAGTGAGGTTAAGTACAGAAACTTTTGGTGAACTTCATAATTCATACCAGCGTTTCCCAAACTACCAGTGAATACCCAAATTTTGTGCATGGTATTTTTCTTATAAATTTCACTTTTTTCGTTAGCATATTTAGAGGTAATGCAACATATCTAATGAGTATATAAACCCCTTTTTTAAATTACAAATAGCCGAGTTTGTACTGAATTGTAGGCAACTTGTCAATCTTGAAAAATAAAAATCGGCAACCGGAATGTCTGTTCTCTTTAAAAGTTATCCAGATTCCGCTTATGAAATCAAGCACGTGATCGGAACATCTAAGGCAAGGTTACTCTTATAGTTTAAAAATAAATTGAGAAATGCAAATATTAAAAAAATCCACACTTTTCCAAAACGTTGCATGTATTGGTATTGGTCAATAGCTACCCTTTCAGTTTCTTGAAATCCGACTTAAAGTTTCTAATGTTGTGATGTGCTCGATTTAAAAGGATGTATAAAGTTTTGCATATTTACATGCTTCTAAAAACCCTATTTTTCTAGGTTATATGCCACATCCTGAGCTTTTCTTTCTGCTCCTTCTACTCCCCATCCCCACACCCTTGGATACTCATTCCCAAAATGTCAGCTTGCAGATGAATTTCGAAATCAACTGCAGTTGGACGTCGTAACGTGTTTGCCACAGTAATTGTCATCCATCTCTGTTCTGTGATTGCCTTTTCACGGCGAAAAGTCTAAATCGTTCACGCAGTACTATACATTGCGCATGTCTGAAACATTTTTGTAAGTTTGCTTTTCAAATCCTCTTCACAAATTCATGCTGTTGTTGAGATAATCTCCCGATTGTTGTCCATTCCAGTCTTGGTTTAATTATCTTTTCGAAAATCTTATATAATTCTAACGCTTTGATGGGAAAAGAATCACTTTATTGACTTTATACCAGCGACCCGGACCCAAATGAAATATCGGTTCCGGTTCTGTTTATATTTAAGCCAAAATATTTATAACGGTTCCGGTCCGGTTTCGGCTCTAAAAAGAAATAACCGTTTGGTTCTGCGCATTTTTTTCGGTCCATAACGGTTATTTTCGGTTCTAGTTTTTCAGAAAGTATGGCATTCAAAAAATTCATTAACGTTTTTTATTACATAATTAATAATACAAGGGGAATAAAGGAGGAAAAGGGAAATATGTATTTACACTTAATTTATTACCAAAAGACAGAAAATTTTATTTTCTAAAACCTCGTCCCTCCTTTTTTATTTTTTTAAAGTAGTGGCTAAATTAGCCCCACCGCCACCCGTAATGTCTTCATTTTCGACACCTTATTAAAAATTTATAATCCACCGATGGCAATCATACAGTAATATTTTATCAGTTTTCCGGACGTGGTTGCCGGCGCGTCCTTCAACTTCCAATAACCTGTTGAGAACCGTAAAAAACCGAAAAAAGTAATATGGGTTCCGTTTCTCAATAGGTTTCCATTTCGAAAAGAAAAACGGTTTCCGTTCGGTTTTCGGTCCAGAAAAAAATACCGGTTTCGGTCCGGTTTTCGGTTCTTTTTCGGTCCGGTCCCTGCTTTATACTAGAAATTTACATTGAATTGTTTATTTTGTTTAAATTGCAATTACCTGCATTTGACAGTATTTATTGATTTAAAAGTATAATTCAGGTAACGTATCGATTTTGATCTTGATGGGATATTTGAAAATGCCGCTTTATCTGAGCACAATGCTCCCATATGGTCTTGACATAAATCTATCCAAATTAAGTTTTGGATTTACTACATTATTTAGCACGCAATGCATAACAGACAGCAAGCAAAAAAGTTGAGTTGAATACAAGTTAACGAGCAACTGCAAAGCAACGAGTAAGTATGAAAAATCAACATCATTGGCGTAACGAACGTGGACGTTAGCAAACCGCTTGCGCGACTGGCTTTTTAAATACCGGCCCCGCATAAGCCAAAAACACCGCGCTACCAGAGCCGGTTGGATCACCAATACAGCGTTTCTATAGCCTGTAAATGTGTCACAATCTTCAACCAACATCAAGCATTCACAAATCAGAGATTACACAATCCACATGGAGCCCTTCTGATCGTCCGGCCGTGAGATGTGGTTTGCCCAGATGTAAATTCACTTTTGCGTCAGTGGCAAACCACCAGTACTGCGACATTTGAAAGGCCTGGCTGGAGCAACCAAGTTGCTAAGATCTAATGGATCAACAGATTGCCCACCAACGTCCAGACGATGTTAGTAACAAAGGCGTGTCTCAGTCATTACATTGTTTTCAGCGACTACAAGGGGGTTCTGTCTTAAGGCGGGTACACATCTGAGCACGCGCGCGAATGAAGCAAGTCGAGGCTGTGCGTTGTACCTTGTATGGGGAACCTGTGCGGCCGTTCACATCTGCATGCTCAAGAGGCCTCGGTTTGCCTCAACTGCGTTCGTGCTCATATGTGTGCCTTTAGGCGATGCAATACGATATGGTTTAAATGTAGCGGGGACCTATAGTGGGGATTAGGCACATACCAAACAGACAAAAATCAATCATTCAGAAACGTTTATAAAAAAGGAAATATGGGATTATGACGAGGATTAGGATTATACAATTTTTCTAAATGTAAGGTTAATTCGTACATCGTTGGCATTTTTTCTCGGTGGTAAGGAATGATACCAATATTGATTGGTCGGTGGATTCATTAACAGTAAACTGCCATGTTGTAACTCTATAGTAACTAAAAAATATCTGTATAATATACTGGTATTATCAGCAGAAGGGAACCTTTTGGAACATCCCTCTTGGCGGGACCCTTCTTTCTGCAGTCTCCATGTTTCAAAACAAACTGACGCTGTTGTCCGAGCGATAATGATGCTATGGGAGCTGAGGGATCCAAGTCAGATTCGCCGTCTCGATGTTCACCAATATGATCAGAGCCGTTTCTATATCTACAATAAAAGCGAAGATCAATACTTACTCGTTTTTCCGTCCGTCTGTCTGTTTTCGTTTTTAGAAACGATAGAACAGAATAAAAAACTCCTTGTGCCAAAAATACCGAAAGCATTTGAGACGCGCCTTGATTCATTAATGTTTAAGAATAATAATCGATTCAAAGGTTTTCGGAAAAGCTTAAAAATTGAGTTGTAAATCGTGTACGTTTCCTTTTTTGTTGCGTCATACCTTTGATTTGGCTTTTGGAATTAAAATTTTCTACCTGTTCACTAAGACAAAATTATATTCCACTCCAGTTAACCGAAAAATTAAATCACGTATCGATTTCAAAGGAGGAATCCATGTTTTCGCGGGAATGGTAACTCCCGAGAATCTGTAAGTAAGCCCTTCGTCGCCGTACGCCACTTGCTGTCGCGGAATATTGTATAGTTTCCCGAAAATTTTCACCTGAAAATAGAATGAAATTCCCAATCGAGCGGCGTTTCCTTACCTTCGTTAAATTGCCGGAATAATATTCGACGTCGTTCTCTAATTGGTTCATTATTCTGTCGGCTAAACGTTTCGAGAATAACAGGGCATAATCGAGATCTAAACCCTCCCTTGAGATTTTTCTCCATTCAGGCTTTATTTCGCCGAGTTCCTTAAAGGCGCTCTCGAGATCAATTTCTATCCCCTGCATTCTGTAAAAAAAAGAATTTTATGCAGAAATGTTGAACTACAATGCCATTGTGTAAGTATTGAGAGATAACGCAATTGCTTTTTTGATCAAGAATAACTAATGGTTCGTTTTCATTTACAGGGCGCAACCAAAACATAATTAACTTTTATTTATTTTATGATTGTATAAAATGAAATGTACTATGTAACTCTTAACTTTTCGTACAGTATGAAGCCAAGAAGCAATCAAATTAGTTTAACAAATTATAAAATAATTAATCTTGAATAAGGAAGAGTATATACGTACACTACATGATGTATTTCTCATATTTTTACTAAAATTTCAGATCAATAGCGCTTTGCGGTATAAATATCAGAAGACATATGGATAAACCGCGAGCTGGAAAGAAGAGATATTTTGTTGTTTACCATAAGAAATATTTTATAAAAATTTCAGTTCACTAGCAATTTCTAGTAAACGTATTCGAAGACATGGCAAGCGAATATACAGGGTCGTTATTAAAGATGGAACCAAAGTTGTCACGTTCAAACCGTTAGAGATATAGACATGGAAATTAGAACGCTTCCGTTTGAAATTGTTTCACATATTTTGAGATTTTAATTTTTTTGACATAGGGTTTTTGAGTGCGACCAACAGCTTGACTTTTTTTGAATTGCAACATAGGTCATGTGATACGTCATTAGAAACCCAATTTTTTGACGTAGGGTTTTTGAGTGCGATCGCCAACTTGAATTTTTTTAAATGGCAACATAGGTTATGTGATACGTCATTAACCTTATTTTTTTCTATTTCTCTCTCTCAAAATATGCGACATAATTTTAAATGGAGGCGTTCTAATTTTCATGTGTATATCTCAAACGGGGATCAGGTATTACTCTAAGGGATGTTTGAATTCAATAGCCACTTTCTCGAAAAATCTCCGCAGTAGCTGCTTTCCCATTTGGAAAACTGCCGTAAAAATTTACTTATCTAATCAAAAATGGGAAACACCGCGTTCTTATGCTAGTAACAATTATCCTTTAGCCTGTTGAGGGCCTAGACCAAGAGGGAGAATAAATAAATAAATAAATAAATAAGTAGTGTCGTTCACATTTTTGCTCAATTATAATGTAAACTGCGTGAAGTAATAGGCCTTGTAATAATGAAAATTGCGTATTCATACTGAATAACAACGAGCAAGAGTCTGGGTCAAATAAAAAATAATAGAAAAGAAGACAATATCAATAAGATAATGACCTTAATTTATATGTTAGTATACGGTCTTATTTTCTTCACCTTTGTGTTTACCATTACCTAATTAGAATTCATGTTACGATACCTATATGGTCGTGATATATAAATTTACGAGGTCTACTTTTGAAATTCCTAGCTTCCCCCTTTTTATCGGTATATAGACGGTATATCAAAGCGAACGTCGTCTTTCAGGAATGCATAATACATTCTGAGGAAGCAGATGATTCAGACTCTTTGATATTGGCGTGCACAAATGTTAGGCCATTGCGTTTGTCCCAGAGTCGCAAGGACAAGGAACGCGTAATCAGGTACCAAAAAGTGAGCTGCGTCATATTATTTATATATTTACCTCTGTAGCTTATAAGTAAGTAGGTACATATTGTAAAGTAGCGTATACTCAAAAGGGGGGTACTATCGGTCGGCCATGTTTGAGGTATAAAAAAGACGGTTACTATGTAAATTATAGGTATTGTCGTCATGTTTAATTAACTTTTGGGCGTTGAGTGTAATCTTTCGTTAATATCTATACTACACAGAAATGTTGTCATTTTGGAGGAATTGTAAATTCGCCATGTTTGAGGTATTTTTGTATGTAGAATACGAAAAACGCTAATTTTTGAAGAGGTTATATTAACTGGTTTGTCTACTAAATTGAAATGCTGGGCATACCCTTCCATGTTAAATGTGGATACACTTTAATAAAACCACTTTTAGAAGCACATACAGTGTAAACTTGAACGCCCTAGGACAGAAGAACGTCGTAGAGAGGATTACATTTTGCATCTGGCAAAGATCGCCTTTTCCGTGTCGATCACCGAGAGGGAAAACCCGGGGAATCTCTCGCATCTTCCATAGACCGATTCTTTCGTATGGACCGCCGATTAATTAGGAACGCCTTTTTCGTATCAGCCAGTGACTAGCTCGACCGCCTTATCGCTCGAATGGGGAAGGGATACTTTGAGCATCTTTCATAGACCGCCTCTTTGTTATCGACCGCCGATTAACTTTGTCTGTCACTGTCACTAGCGTGCGAAACGGTTTAAGATTTCTAAAATCTAATCTTAGAGCATAGTTACCGTTGTCTTGGCCTACACCAAAAATCCCATGCGTAGTTCTTAATTCAATTGTAACGATTTTACGATCAACCGTCTAACACCAACTATATAAGTGCGTCGACGCAATAGTTTTTGCCAATTAAGTAAATTTGAAAAGGGGCGAATAATAAGGATGCGAGAGTCAATATTTGGACAGAAAAATGCAGACACCAACATTGTAGAGGACCGGAGAAGTTCGCAGAACTAGTAACCGTAAAAATCGCATAATTAATGGTGCCCCCTGGTCTGCTGGCCCCTACAGGACAACTCTGTTTGAAACCAATTTACCGGAGAATAAGGTCTTCAATGCTAACAACCACGCCTTATCTTGTAGTTAACAAAAGACATAAGGAGGCGCTTCCTAAAGGACTTATGGTTTGGGATGCCATGTCATATGAAAGTAGGTCTCGTCTAGTATTTTTGGAAAGAAACATAAACGCACAGGGTTGCGATATGATAGGAAGAAGGCTGGGTAGATTGTCTGCTTCGCCGATAGATCTGCAGCACATTCGCGATGAGATTCGGTACTTCTATATGGCAGGCACCAAGGCATAGATCACCTCATTCCAAGCATGCATGGCAGAGTAGTGCATTACCTTACGAGGATTATGGACTCATACAGTTGTCAGGAAACTTTACTTTAATCAATTGTCTATAAGTACTTTTATTACCAAAAAATTAATAACAAATTTTTACGTTTAATGATTTTTAATTATCAGTTAATAATGTAAGAAACCTTGCTAGATACACAAGGTACTTATTAATTATCTCGTAGTTGACATTGTCTGATTAAGATGATAAGGCGATATACAAAAAACGGTGTTAATGAGGGAAATAGGCCCAATTTCGAAACATGCGCGCCATACTTTTCGCGACGATTTACCTTAGTGCCCTTTCGTTCATCGATTGCAATAACGATACTCGAATTGTGATTATTGGTGCTGGAGCGGCGGGAATTGCTGCTGCATCACGATTATATAAAAACGGCTTTACAAACATCAAAATTTTGGAAGCGAGTAATCGGATTGGAGGCCGGATTCACAGCGTGCAATTAGGCGAACACTTTATCGATTTGGGTGCGCAATGGTGTCATGGAGAGAATTTAGTATACGAAATGGTGCAGAACCAACAAATGTTGACCGATGATACATCTTCGTCGCTGGTGTACCATTCGCGATTGAAACGTATGGATGTCGAATTTTTACCAAAATTATACAAGATATATGACTTCGGTTTTAAAGGCAACCATTCGAAGGATAAAAGTATGGGCGACCTTTTTACTGAGAAGTGAGTACAAACGAGAAATGTCCTTTCTTATTTAGCTGATTTCAGGTATAATACATTAAAAGATCTTCTTTGGGAGAGCAAAGAGGAACTGGCGCTAGTGGAGGAATGCCTAGATTTGCTTCAGAGGCACGTGGAAACAGTTTTCTCTGTGTTTTCTTGGTTTAAACTGGCACATAAAACTTATTTTAAGCCATCTGAAGGAAACAACCACCTCGGTTGGAATGGATTGGGTTATAAAACCATTCTAGAGATTTTGATGGGGGATGCTCCCGTTCAAGACAGTATCTTCTTAAATAAAAGAGTTGGTCGAATTCATTTAACCCCACGCAAGGCTCGAGTGGACACCGTCACTTCGTGTACTAAAACGTCATTACAGTATACTATTCCGCCCAAAACTGTCCAAAAGGAAGATTCAGTCGATTCAATCTTTGGGTTATGACGCTATTGGGAAAATTTTCCTACATTTCCCTCACAAATGGTGGAATGCTGATTTTGGCGGTGCAGAATTCGTATGGAACAAGGAAGATTTGCAGAAGTCTGCACACGAATTTCCAGAGGGACCTAAACTAGTTAGTCATCTAAATCGACCAATGAATGTGAATCTGATTTCTTGTAGGGTAACCTATCATGGACGACACGAATTTTGAGTATCTTTCCAAATCAAAAGAATCCTAACGTTCTTTCGGCGTGGTACAGCGGGGAATTGGTGCCGGAAATTGAAAAATTAACCGATGACACAATCATAGATGGTCTTATGCACATATTGCCTCAATTCCTAGCAGACGAGTACCCCAACATAACCCGTCCCGATAGGATATTAAGGTAATTAAAATTAATAAAGAAGGGTGCCTTATCTCATGGTTGTCTAGGAAGAGTTGGTATGCTGATCCCCATTTTTACGGAACGTACTCATTTGAAAGTGTAGAATCCCAAAAGCTTGGTGAATCTCAGGCCGCTGTACTATCGGAACCAATTGTCACAAAGACGGGGAAGTCGATCCTTTTGTTTGCAGGAGAAGCAACCAGTCAATTTTATTTTTCGACTGTTCACGGCGCAATAGAGACAGGATTTCGAGAAGCAGATCGAATCATTAATTTATATAAATGAATTTATCCAGGCTATAGATTCCCAGTTTTGTCACAATCGGTAGTGAAAATATAATAACGCAAAAGATGCAAAAAAAATAACGGAACGAGCTTTAACTACGAACCGAAGTCAAAAGATGTAAAAACATTTCAACACCACTGCGCCACACGGACCGGCTACCGGTAATTATACTTACCTAATTGACCGGGTTAAAATTTCTTAATTCAAAAGACCAGTAATACGACCTACTTTTCTTGCAATCACCGGTCAAGTACCGTACTCGTTTAATCCTGGTTTGCAGAGGGACGTTTCCAATGAATGGTGAGTTTACAGTAGAGTTGTCGCATCTTAATAAGGAGTCTGACCAACAATGGGTCAGGTTTAACTAGCTACTCCTTCGTTAAACTACCCAACCCCTTCATTGCATATTCTACTGAAAATGGGTTACCAATCTGGAGTATTGTTATTATAAGATTTGTCATGATTTTTGTAAAACAATAAGGTGTTATCCATATCTTTATTTATTTGTTACACAAGATATGAAGCTACATAAGATATTTAACATCGGGTGTGGTGGGGATTGTGGGGAAGTGAGTGTGCTGTATTAGCGTTGTTTGGCAACGGAAAAATAATAAACAATTTTGAGTTTTCATATAGTATTGAAATTTTACAATCTTCTCCCTAATAAAAAGAAAGAATTAAATTTTCTACAGGGATAAAGTGCGTAGAAAAGAACAAATCACCGCCAAATATGGCTCCCTCCATACTCATGTTTAGGGAAAACCGCATGGCGATCTTAGATCTCGTTCGTTAGATATTAAGGGTGGATTGTTTTGGATCTATCCATATTAATTTACAGAATTTTTTGCCTTACTAGGCTGGTTAGAAACATACAAATCACCGCCAACCATTATGTTAGCGTAGCCATTAATCTCACTTTATTGGAAATGACATTTATATAACAAACTTTCGGCAACAGCTGATTGGTCGCCAACGATCTCAGCAAAGCATATCCCTCTTCAGTATTACAGAGGTGGATAATACACGTACTTTAGTACAGTTGCAAAAGATTCTAATTTCACATATTTTCAATCACATTAAAATTGGTTCGTTGATTTATTTTTGTAAGCAACATAATCTTCCACTGCGATTACACTGACGGTACAGCATTAAACAACATATTACTATAGCAACGACAATAGCTGTAATTTAGTGAAAAATCGTAGCTCATAATCTCTTTTGTAATTTCTCGTAGTTGCCTCGACATTAATTCATGTATAATTATTTGCATAATAAAACGCATTGCATTACCCTATTACCTAATTCAACATACGTTTTAACGTTTGGTTTCCTTGGAGATAGCAGGTAATTAGCCATTTCAGGTTCTGAAGGAAGTTGAAATACAAATCTAAACCTTTCTTTCTTCTAATGATGCATTCAAGTAAAGAAAACTACGTGCTCGGCGTCTGTGATAAGTTCTTAGAAGGTAACAGAGCAATATTGTTAATCGATGAGCATTTATTTCCTTCCATTCTCTGAAAGCCAAGCGTCAGACCAAACTTCGTTATTGGTTTTAGTTCGCTAAAACAAAGGAACTCCACCCTACGTCTTCGCCTGGAGAGGTAAACATGTCACAAAAGGAGCATGATAAACCCCAATCACTTACACTAATTAGGCGTACATCTGCTTTCTTGTGCTTTAACTTCGTGAAATAAAGTGTTTAAATATTTTATGAATCTCGAGCAATAAAAGACTGCAAAAGTTTTATTATTGATGATCTTTTTTCGAAAATTTATTGCGTACGGCATAAAATCGGACGACTTTATATACCATCGTAATAAAATACAGATGCGGAAAATATACTAATAAATTTCATGAAAAGTACTCTACTCCTGTACTGTTATTTCAACTCATTATTTTAAATTGTAAATAATTTATCGCGGATGCCTTTTTTAGTGTAAAAAGTTGTGTGATGGTGGAGACTAAACTGTTATGGTCGTATTTTATTATTGAAGGGTACTTTAATGTTTCGTATAAATTTTAAATTATCTCGTTAGGAGACGGTCCGCTAGATGCTAACTGCCATTGAAGAGGTAGTTCAGTTTCCAAAGAAAAACACATGCCAAAGTTATTGCAAAACATTTATTTTGTTTGTGCAAAACCCATGTTACAGGTATCTATACTTTATATTTTATTGTCGCTTTAATGCAAACATTTATCACTCCACCCGTATATCTGAAATTTTTGCTACAACTATACAAGGTTGGTTTTTTTTTCATTTTCACTATGAGGATCTCGTAATCACGTTTTTAGATAAACCTGCATCCGTCACTCTTATGGAATGTTTGCTAGCAGAGGATGAGCCTGGTGTAGATATATAAAACTGACCGAAACAGGAGGAAATAAATTGGAATAAATTGAAAATGCACATCTGATCTCATCTTATCAAATTGAAAAGTAAAAGGCGATATAAACCACGCTAAGAAATTGGAAGAATAAATGGATTGTTAGATGAAGCTGTAGAAAGTTTATTTTTCATGGTAAACGCTAGTACATCAGACGAAATGGGTGAAGAAGAAAGTAACGACGTTAGTGTTTCATTAGTTTCAAATACACACTCCTTGGTCATTAACTCATTAATTACCAATAATCATTTTGTTATTTTGGTTTATAATTTTTGTACTTGTTACGTTCACTTTGGAAGAAAGTAAAAAAATTAGCTTGAGATAAGCACACGGTAAGATCAGACAAAGTAGAGGTGGGTCGAGGTGTATATCGATGTTCTTGTACACTAGCAAAAATAAGCAAAAAAGTAAATGTAGTTATTGGTAACCGGATAGGCGCCACTTTAATAAATTTTAACAAAGTAGAGAGAATACTTCCAAAGGGGAGGGGGACAAAACGAACTAAGATGTTCTGGTCTTGATAAGCTAAAGAAATAAAATACTGATATGTAATTCGTAACTTATGTTACATACCGAAACGGCCTTAGAACTTGTAAAATATATCCGCAAATGCGTCAGTAAAGTGTCGAAAGCAAAATAACAAGAGAAAACCTTCATTAAACTCATACAGTACCAATTAATCCCAAAAGGCAGACAAAATAGTAGAGTTGCAATAATGGTGAGTATGTTCTTCTACAAAGTAGTGGTTGAATCAAGTACAAAGAAGTGCGTGCGCCGAAAGAAATTTAAGAAAACTCTGCACGACCTCCGTTGGCAAAACAAAGAACTATTGGAATAAGATTCTTATACTAAGACAATAACTAATTTACATCTAAACTAGTGCATTACAAAGAAGATACCTAGATGGCGTAAGAATACTCAATTTAAATTACGAGCGAGATGAACGTAACAGGTTTGCCATCATTTTGATTAAATGGCCGAAAATGAATTTCACTTGTAAATTGTTTGTAACTTATTTAGAATTTAAATAGTTTGGGAGTGACTGGCTTTATCATTTAAATTTAAAGTTTTATTGGGGCAACTAAAGACTGGTTTAAGCAAAATTTTAAATAGTAAATGGTACATTTTAAATACCACCGTTGAGTGAAGGATTAGATACCACCATAAATTTAATTGTCGCAACTGACTTAATCACTCAACGCTGAAATGCTAAATATGAAATGGAGTTTCATATTTAAAGTACATTTTACTTGATCAGATAGGAATTTAAAATTACAGTTACAATACTTTTACAGCTGTTATCAGTTTGCTTTGAGTGAACGCTTAGATAACGATCCTTATCGCAGTCTACATGCGAAATCATGCGTACAATTTCGACCTTGAACAATGGGAAGCGGAAACGATATAATATATGCATACTATAGTGTAGTGACACACGCAGTGGCAAACAAATTCAAAATGCGTTAATTTCAAATTTCATATAAGCAGTTTATAAAAGACCATGACGTACTTTGCGTTATAGATTCAATATAAAAATTATGAATTAACGTAAATATGTCACCGAATTGAAAAATTGTTGTACGCTAAACATACTGTCTAGTTGTCTACCACAAATACTCAACATTAATGTTATTAGGATTAAAGCGATGTTTTATTGGCGTAATTAGCATTACTACTGAAGGAGGTCGAAGGGCGTTTGGTTTTCACGCATTCAACATTGAATAAATTAATGCGAAATATTTAATAATAATTAAAAGCGTAGAAATATAGAGTGTAATAAAAAAAATGAAACGACCAAAAATTGCAGTGGTGTAAAAACTCCGCTTAAACAAAATCATAATGAACGCCGTAACTTAATTAAGAGGCAAATTTAATACTTTCTATACCTACATCAGAGTTCATGAATATTTTGATGATAGCATGGGTAACAGCTTAAAATTCATTATTTTCTGTAACGGAATTACATTCCTGTCGGCAATCATAACTAAGAGCACTTTAATATATAATTAGTTTTCTAATTATTTTTTAAAATACATTAACATTGCGTCTTCGTAAAACTAAATTAAGCTCCACTTCATACAGCTTATTATAACCTTTATATACCTAAATTAATTTAATATTACAATTAATCAATGAATCATTTTTAATGAAAGTACAGATATCCATCAGTTAAAAACAAATACATACAAACATCTATCAAACTGTCAAAAAACACATGTTGTTATTATGTATTTAACATAAAATTAAAAAAAGTGCTACTGTGGCCACTTTGTCCATCCGTTAAGATAAATGATCATAAACAAGTATAAATTGTACACTACTCTTGTGCAGATAAACCGCATTTTTTAAACCGAAATAGTTTTTGTTTTGACATCACCAATGGATATATTTCTTGCAGTCGTCTCAATAGCCCTTTGTGAGTACCCTCTTCCAACAATCCGTTCTTGAGGTATAAGGTATAGCCCGCGTATTTGCCATGTATCTGCTACTTGTCTTGTCTTTTAGAATCTTCCTAACCCTAATCCTAGTATGTCATAAGTATGAAAGAGAATTTTATACAGATTAATACACTCCATTAGTACCTATAGTATACGACCAATCAGCTTATAGCCCAGGCATTTTAGGTTTTGACCCTACGAAAAATAACGTAAATCTGAAAGTTGGCACAGTTGTTCTATTTGATGCGCTGAACAACATATAAAAAGTCCCAAGAGTTCCCATGTCGGCTTCCTTGAAGTTCGGGCTTTCGAAAGTCCGAACTCTTGAAATCTGCACGACGCCACTATAATTATAGCCTAGCGAACGAACGGAAAAAGTCCCAGAGTCGCGGGAGGGCTTAAATTAAAGGTTAGTAACCAGGCTATCTTTTGATATTTTCTGCAAGTGCCAGTGACAACTTCCGGCCAGACAGGAAGTGGAAAAAGACCGCTAAACTTGACAAAAAAATTGGTTTTCGTTTTTTGTTTGGACATAGGTGCGGTTTAGCGTCCGATATCGGAAAAATGACCAAAACAAATGTTGTAGAGCGTAGTTTTAACTTTAAAACCGTACCCTTTGCGTTGAAATCCGACCAATAGGAGAGGAGCTACAAACCGTTAAGTGCGATCCCACGCGCCGCTCGCCGTTGCGCGACTTGCCTGAGAGGTGCACCAGATCGACCAGATACGGTTGGCTTAATAGCGGCGCATCTCTGACTTATTCGTATTTTGACTGTGAGCGTTTTAGACTTTTGGGATGTATTTAGTGCGTAAATTTTGAGGGAAACTGTACTGTATTTTTTTCTAAACAAAACAATCCAAATTAAAAATTGTTGAGTAAACTTCGTCGTAAAACAAAGACAGGTTCGCTGTTTTAATTCGACGTTCCTTCTCCATCGGATTCTTCGTCTTCGGACTGGGGTTCGGGAACATTATTACAGCTCCTGCCTCTACAATGGGCGCATGTAGGTTGGCAGAGCCGCACGAACAGCGGTTAAAACAACCTTGCTGGCAAGCGCAAGAAATCAAATGTGGATGTTCGTCTGGTGCTGGTGGCAGACTTGTCGGATTTGGAACAAGTGTGGGCCCCATTTTTTTTAGCCCCAATCCGTTGGCAAAAGACAGTTCGATAGCCATTCTTGAACCTAAAATAAGGAAAATAGGAAATAGAATTAACTAAATCATTCTAAAAACTACTGTACAATCAGATTCAATATAAACATCTCGCCAGGAAAGATTGCCGGTCACAGAAGACCTGATCCCGGTCTACAACCTGTCTTTTTCTAAAGATGTGAGCGACTTCCAGGATAGGATCGTGCCAATCTTGAAGGAAAAGTCTTTTCGTTCAACATTGGCACGATCCTATTCCGGAAGTCGCTCGCATCTTAAAAAAAACATAGATTGTAATTTGACACAAGGTGCGCTGTGACCGGCAATCTTTCCTGGCGAGAGTTATACCGTCTTCTTTACTGCCGTAGAGATGAACAATAAATTTTTCACCAGCTGATACGATGGATTCTTTTGATGTGCCCGGTTTGTTGAACGTGAACGCAATATTTTGTAGGTGTGGGTTTTCTAAAAGCTTCCATGACTTCTTTTTTCCTTGGTTGTACAGCGCCGATGTATTATCGCAGCCCGTTATCGCACGAAGGAATAGGTGCGAAGAAAGACTGCCTACTATTCCTTCATGCGATAAAGGGTTGCGATACTACATCGGCGCTGTACAACCAAGGAAAAAAGAAGGCATGGAAGCTTTTAGAAAACCCACACCTACAAAATCTTGCATTCACGTTCAACAAACCGGGCACACCAAAAGAATCCA